TAATATAAATACTATAAAGTAGAATAAGAAACTTATAATAAGATAGTTATTTTATTTATTTTTACTACTTTAAATATATAAAAAGCTATTATAGAAAGTAATATTACTAAAACTATTAATAATTTATTACTATTTATATTAGTTATACTTAGTCTTCTTATTAAGAGATCTATAGGAGTTTTTAAATTTTATACTTTATACCTTATTATATATATAGCTTATAAAATAAAGTATATATAAAAAGAGTAAGTATATAAAGTTTTAGATAAATAGATAAAGAATACTATTTTAGAAGAAATCTTTATACTTACTTAAGTAAAGCTTCTAGAGAAAAGAGATTATACTTTTTATATTTTAATATATATTCTAAAATAATATTATACTTTAAGTAATTTAAGTAACCTTACTATAATCTATAAAGAATATATTATAATCTTAGATTAAATAGCTTCTACTATTAATTCTAATACTTAAATTAAAAACTTCTAAAATATACTTCTTAAAGTTTCTTAGTATAAGTTACCTAAAGTATAGGGAACCTTTATATTAAAAACCTTCTTCTAAGTAATTTAATATTATTTTATTTTATCTTAAGCTAATCTAAAACTTATTAATATTATTAAATAAGAATATTTTAATACTAAGATCTAAAATATAAGTTAGTATATTAATATATTTAAAAACCTTCTTTATAAAAATACTATAAGAACTTATTTAAAAAGTTATATTAATAGAGTTTTTATAATATTAACTAGATAATCTAATAATATAATTTCTAGTAACTTTATTTTAGAAAAGCCCTTATAAAATAAGTTAGTTTTATACTATATATATAGAAGAGACTATAAATAGGTCCTATCTACTTATAATTACTTTAAGTTTACTCTTATAAGTAAAGAGGTTTATATAAGCTCTAAAGAAGTAACTTAGGTTTACTCTAAAATTAATAGATTAAAATACTTTAAACTTTATACTAAAATAGCTTATAAGAGGTAGCTTACTATAAGAAACTTTAATACTCTTAAGTTTAAGAATAATAAGAATTAAAATAAGAGGGGACTACTTAAGAATAACTCTAATAGATTAAAGAGGTTAACTACTACTTATACTTCTAAAGTAAACCTCCTATCTAATATAGTAGCTTATATTATTACTAAGGATATTATTATAGAGATTATAATAAAAGAAGTAGAAGCCTTTATATTAAAACCTAAACCTAATAAGATCTATATAATTTATATTTAAAACTTAGGAATTCTTTTTAGTAGTATAGTATTAAATAACTATAGTACTCTCTACTTAGTAAATAATATCTCCCTCTTTAAAGAAAGCTTAGTTATCTATAAAATAAAAAGGTAAATTAAAATAGGTATAACTTTATACTTTATTATAGTAAAAAGTATAAAAGTCCTTTATAATATCTTAAATAGAGTAAATAAACTTTAAGATTTAATATTTTAGAATATTACTCTTATAGATAACTTCTATATTAATATTATCTTAAAATACTTATTTTAAAAAATAGGTATCTAATACTTAAGTTTTAATAATACCTTTTATATTAGAGATTATAAAAATAGTATAAAAGTAAAGAAGTTCTTATAAAAAAGTAATATTACCTTTATAGATTACTAACTTTATTTCTTATACCTTAGTTTTAGATATATCCCTTCTAATAATACTTTAATTATAAGTCTACTTACCCTTATAATAACCTATATAAAATAATATTCTTAAAAACTTATCTAAACTTATATTAATACTATAGAAATATAGTATTTTTATTCTAAATATCTTAGCTAAAAAGTACTTAAGAAACTTATTCTTAATACTTAGGGGGTAAAGATCTAAAGTATATTATATTTTAAATATTAATACTATATAATAATATATATAAAGTAAGTTATATTAAGATATACTTTAGAACGAAAAGTAATATAACCCTTCTATAAGGTCTTATAAGACTTATTTAACTACCTAATAAGCTTTAATATAAATAAATAGCTCTTAGTTATTAAAAATAAGTATATAGGTTAACTCTTTATATTCCTATATATAGATAAAACCTAATATTTAGTTTTTATTATTATTTAAACTTTTAAGTACTAAGTATAGAGATAATATAGCTTTATATTATATAAAATTAAATAAAATAGTAAGTATACTATAATTATAATTAATAGATTATTAGAGTTCTAGATCTAAGTATTAGAAATAGAGATTAAAATTAAATAAGCTTTTTTATATACTAAAAAACTAAATAGAGGTATAGAGTAAATAAGTTAGAAACTAATTATAAAAGCTATTATAATACTTTAAGTAATAAGCTTTCTATTTAACTTATAAGTTAAAGTAGTATAAGCTATAATATTCCTTTATAATATAAGCTCTTACTAATATTATAACTAGTTCTTATTAATCTAAGTTAAAGAAAACTAATTAAGAGATTATATTAAGTATTATAAACTTATTTATAAAGTAAACCTCTTAGTTAATTCTTACCCTTAATAGGGAGGGGTTTATATATATAGTTATAGAGTATACCTTTTTAAAAAAGAATATAAAGTAAATAAGAATAGATATAATTTTAAAGTTATAATATAAATATATATTAGATACTTAGTAAGGTATATAGTGAACTTATATAACCTCTATAAGGTTTAGATACCCTTACTTTAAAAAGTTATTATTATATAAAATATAACCTTTAATAAGAAGATATTCTATTTAAAAGATAATATAAAAATAGTAATTTAAAGTAAAGAAGTTTATTTAGTTACTAATAAAATATAGAAATTAATATCCCCTATACTTTTAGAACTCTAGATTTTAAGAGTATAAGGTGAAGTTAATCTTATATTAATAATAAATAATAAAGTACTATTATTATACCTTTTCTTACTAAGAGAACCTTAAATAGTTAATAATAAGAGAAAGAGATAGATATTAACCTCTAAGTTAAATTTAAACCTTATTAAGATATATAGGGTACTAAATCTAATACTACTATTAAACCTTATCTAGGATAATAATATAATAAAAGAGATTTAAGATATTAATAAGGATATAACCCCTACTAAAAATATAATCCTAGATAAGATATATATTTAGATAGATACCTCTCCTCTATAAAATCTAAATATAGAGGATATTAATATATAACTATTCTTATAAAGTAATTCTCTTATTTAGTTAGTATAGCTATACTTAAAAACTAGAGAAAAGAGTACTACTAAAGAGAAATTAAAGTAAGTATATAACTATACTAACTTAGACTAACCTAAAACTATAAAATTAAAGTAATCTCTATATTTTAAAATATATTTTATATTTCT